CTCTCTCTCTCTCTCTCTCTCTCTCTCTCTCTCTCTCTCTCTCTCTCTCTCTCTCTCTCTCTCTCTCTCTCTCTCTCTCTCTCTCTCTCTCTCTCTCTCTCTCTCTCTCTCTCTCTCTCTCTCTCTCTCTCTCTCTCTCTCTCTCTCTCTCTCTCTCTCTCTCTCTCTCTCTCTCTCTCTCTCTCTCTCTCTCTCTCTCTCTCTCTCTCTCTCTCTCTCTCTCTCTCTCTCTCTCTCTCTCTCTCTCTCTCTCTCTCTCTCTCTCTCTCTCTCTCTCTCTCTCATAAAAACATATCGCATGGCCATAAGTATTTTGTATGTACGAATGGGTACAGGCAAAATGGGTGTATGGTTTAATGATGAATGTCAGTCAGGCAAAGGCTGTGTAATAGGTTTATATGTATGACATGTAGTGAGTAGAGTAGTATGAAATCTGTAAGATGAGTGTTCTGTACAATTACCCATCTTTTCCTGTCATAATTTACAGACTTGTATCTCATTATTTGTCATGCGTATGTGTTTGAAAAATCTGAATAAAATTCTAAGTTACAAAAAAAATAAAAAATAAAAAAAAATGATCATAATGTATACCAAGTTTCCAAGGGGGGGGGGTAAAACACATAAATACTCCTCCCTCAAGTGTAGAATTACATATGTCCATGTATGGGATATGATGTAATCAGAATGAGAATTATGTGAATGCAAGCACAAACCAGAGGGATCTTGGCACCCACCATTGTACCATCTTCATTAGTTCTTTGTCAGTTCGATCTTTTCTCTTCTTTCCTCTATTCTGTTTGATCGAGATAACTTTTGATCTAATCTTAATACTAATGTGTATCAAAGCCAACCTTCAAAGTGAGTTTGTCATTTCACATATTTACTAGTACAGTACTTAATGTGAAAGAAATAGAATCAATCATTGCAATATGAGAAAGATCTGTTTAGTTCTTCCTTTCGCCATTTTGTTTTTATGATCAGTCTCAAAATATAACATGCACAAAGAGGGATCAAGGGGAACCTTAACATATCAAATTTGAGAAAGATCCCTCAAGTTATTCCTGAGAAATAGTACTAACAAACCTTCAATGTCAAAAATCGAAGATGGCTGCCAGTAGGCCATTTTGTTTAACTGATCAGTTTCAAAAGTAAACATGAACAATAAAGGATAGTGGGGAACCTGCATTGGCTGGCCCCAAATTTATTTTTTGGGCGAGTAAAAAATTTGAAGCACTGGCCCAAATGACATATTGGTGGACCAAATAATTTTGGGAAGAAATATTTCCACAGCATTTAACACAATGCTTTAGCACATTTAAATCACATATAACATGACAATGTTTGTAATATATAAAACAGAATAAAACATTATATTTTTAATTCTTCAACCCCAGTTAAAACCTGACATGATCCACTCCATTCAGTTCTTCCCAAAAAGAAATACACAAAAATTGCACCTCAAAGAAGACACCCTGGCAGTATTTATATAGAAAATCAGAAAAAAATCATCGCATTTTCTAAATCACAGACAGTTCGATTCAAATCAAAGTAATGACAACTGAAAAATGTACTGCCCCCCCCCCCCCACCCCCCCCAGTTAATGTGGAAGGGACTATAATTTCTTTTATTCATTATTTTTTCAACAGTAGCTCAAACTATTTCTGTTGGGCCAGTGACTACCTCACTTTTGACAACTTTTAGTAACTCGAGCAAGACTTTAACCGCCATTGGCGAGCAAGCGACCGCCCATTTCAGGCACTGCTGCACAGCTAAGGACCAAGGGGAACCTACATATAAAATTTGAGAAAGATCCCTCTAGTACTTCTTTAGAAATACCGATAACAAGAATTGTTTAAGGAGGGACGACGGACGGTGGACGATGGACCACGGACGGACGACGGACCACTGACGAAGGGTGATTTGAATAGCCCACCATCAGATGATGGTGGGCTAAAAACTGAGTGCCTGACATGAATGTAAATTAGCAGAAGAAATAAACAATTTTTCAGTGTATACAGGTAAATTTCCATGTCAATGCCTATTAATTGATCAAATAGATTTCAACGACAACAGGTCACCCAGCGGATGTTCGAGTCACAGAATCAGTAGCCTGCCATAGAAGTCACAGGTAGTTCTGATGTCTATAGGATTAATTTGCCGAGTCACTTCCACCAGATCTTATCGTATTCCATGTTTAACTGACTGAGATTTGTTTCACTCAATTTTATTGGTGTAACAGGAGACTAAAAATGCACGGCCACAGCAGGATACAAACCCAGGACCTCTAGACGGAAGCTCTGATCTAGATTTAGTGATAGACCCAGTCCACTTCCACTACATTCAATTGAATCCAGAGTAAGAATAATAAATCAGATTCAGTAAGATTTCAAATATGGGTTAATACCCAAGAAAAAAAAAGAAAAAAACCTTTTTATTCATACAAAATACATTATCAGGTATATACTTTCAAGTTTTGAATAAAAAAAATATTATTCTTTTCACACAAATAAGATATGTTTAAATACTTCATTCAAGTTCGGATATGTACTAGAATATAGAAATGTACTGGATTAGAGGACAATGAGTTACTTGCAGTAATATTCGACTAGATGTTATGCTGATTTATCTCCAATTAAGCATGATCCTTTTCATCCCTCATTTGGATAATATTTTTTAGACCTTACAGTCTCTATGATCCCATAGTACGGTAAAGCATCATGTGCCCAATAATATTTCACTGTCTACATTTATACAAGGCTTCGGGTACATCTACATCTAAAACACTCTTTACTATAACAGACACCTAAACAGTTCCGATATGGAAGGGCCATCACCAAATAATGGAAAAAGTTTACTGTATTCCGAAACTATCATTCAATCAAATGTTCACCTTTCACAGGTAAAATGAATATTGGCTAAGTGTTAATTTTACCCTTCACGTGTAATCATTATTACCTATGGTACGTTGTGTAATATTCATTATAATGATAAATTTGCCCTCATTCCGGAAGCTGAAAAAGGTGAAAATTAGAATGCAGTGAAATTTCTCCATATACACATTTTTTATTAATGGTCTTTGACTTGGCTATGTATATAAATATAAACTTAATCTATTTTACAACAATTATGAAACAAGTTATATAACTTATATGCACAGGGAGTCTTAATGTGGGAGGAAACTGGAGTACCCGATAATACACATGTGGTTGGGCAGGTGATCTATAGTCATACCTTTTCACATCCTATCAGGGAAACGAACCACCCGAACACCCTGTGTTTAGACCACCCTGTGTTTACCGGTGCCACCCGACCACCCTGTGTTTACCGGTGCCACCCGACCACCCAGTGTTAACCGGTGCCACTCGACCACTCTGTGTTTACTGGTGCCACCCGACTACCCTGTGTTTACCGGTGCCACCCGACTACCCTGTGTTTACTGGTGCCACTCGACCACCCTGTGTTTACCGGTGCCACCCGACCACCCTGTGTTTAGACCACCCTGTTGTCAGCAGTGCCACCCGACCACCCTGTGTTTAGCTGTGCCACCCGACCACCCAGTGTTTACCGGTGCCACCTGACCACCCTGTGTTTACCGGTGCCACCTGACCACCCTGTGTTTAGACCACCCTGTTGTCAGCAGTGCCACCCGACCACCCTGTGTTTACCGGTGCCACCCGACCACCCAGTGTTTACCGGTGCCACCTGACCACCCTGTGTTTAGACCACCCTGTTGTCAGCAGTGCCACCCGACCACCCAGTGTTTAGCTGTGCCACCCGACCACCCTGTGTTTAGACCACCCTGTGGCTGTGTACTATGGATTAAGGACCATATTTTGACAAATTTAACAGTTTTTACTTATTCTACCTGGTTAACATTAATATTAAGCATCAATGTTGTCATTTATTGCTGAAAAAATGATGACTTTTCCCCCCAGTTTTCTATTAAAACAGACAGATCAGAGCCCTAATTATGGGAAAGTGTACATCTTTAAAAGTGAAAATGAAAGTCTACCATTTTTGTTGAAATGTTCAACCAATGCAATTAAGTTGTTATCAAGATTATACTTAGACACTGAGCATGATGTATTTGGGGTACATATCAACATCACAATGGTCATGTTAAACCTGGAAATGAGACAACACATCCTCCACTTATAATGCTACAATGAAATATAAGACCTAAGAGTTTATAATATCTTCTGTATTGTTTTCACTAGATTTAGCATCTTTTAATTAAAGACCTTTTGTGAAATCATCGCAAACATAATGGTGCATGCCAGAGTGTTTAAAACTGTTATAGAAAGTCGGATGGTGGAAGCTGTGTACAACCATATTTATCTTTGTACTTATCTGTCAATAAGCCCAAGCCTGCTATAATAAGCCAGCCAATATCTACCGCATTAGAAATGCCAACTTATGTTATTTCATTGTCCTGTAATTAGCCCCACTACTATGAGTCAAGACTGTCCACTATGTGTTTGCCTCTCGGGCTTATTACAGGATACATGCGCTACTTAAAATAAGCCAGTAACAATTAACTGACCTGCAAAATGAATGGAGACACTCCCGCAACACCAAACCCTGCCCAGGCTCTATGGTGTCAAAACAGATAGGACAGTCAAACTCGACTGTGTTAGATACCAAGTGCTGCTCCTCTACCGCCAGGAGGCGCTCAAAGTTCTCCTGTCTCTGTACCAACTGTTCCTCACGGCGTTGGTCCTCATACTGCAACAGATCAACACATGATGTATGTATGTATGTATGTATGTATGTATGATATATATGATACATGAACGAACGAATGAATGAAATATTAAGAATGACGAATGAAAGGCCTCTTGTATGAGGACAAATATTTGTAAAGTTTACTGAACCCAGAGCCCCAACTCTGGCAGTAATCTTTTACCTAAAAACTGGAAATTAAATGTCATTTTTGGAAGAAAAAAAAAGAAAAAAAATCAATACATGATTGTTATATGCATCACATTACTGCTGTTAGACTTATTATTAAAAGCTTTATTACTCCCACGGTACAACATCATTGTCACTGTAAGAAACCACGTTCCTTTCAGTATAGTCTGACCAGTACGATCGTAGGCGAGGGCCTGTATTCATGAATTTATCGTTCTCGTGCTCAAGTATGGATTTTGTGCTCAAATCTTATTTCTCGTTCTGGTTATAAATTGATAAACAAATCTTATTTTGTCAATGATTTGGAAAAAATATCGAAGAGACTTTAAGCCAAATACTGTTCCTATAACTTTTTGATCGTTTGACATCATTTAAGGAAGTTACAGGAAAATTTAGATTGAGCACAGAATCCATGCTTGAGCATGAGAACGGTTTCATGAGTATGGGCCTGATATCAAGGTAAATTTCAGTGTAAGTGGAGAGGAGTTCTACTTAGAGGTGTCACCTTTATATATTGAAGATGAAGCATTACCAAACAGTGTTCTTCTGGCCAAGAGTAACTCCCCCTGTCAAATGATGTATCTATCAATGTTCATTTTCTATTTAGTTAGACTTTGTGGCTCATTGGTGTCCATTCATGATTCTTCGATTACAACAGTGGTAAAGATTAGGGGCTCGGCAGTGCAAAGGTCACAAGTTTTACTCCTGCAGATCTGTAAGTTTTTTAAAATTTCTAATAACTCATTCAAATTTTAAACAATTACAATTCTGTAAAATGCATCGTAACAGGCTTTTTTTATGCCCCCACCATAAAATGGCTGGGGGTGGGGGGTGGGGTGGATATAGTGTTGCCCATGTCCAACCCTCCCCGTCACGTCCTGTCCCTTACATAGTTATTAAATATGAAGGGCAAATCTAACATTGAGCAAAATACATTTTACTGTGGTTGTGTGGTGGGTCAGTGCATGATTACATGCCATAACCTTCAACTGAACATTTGTCATCCACCAAAATCTTCAACTGAACATTAGTCATCCGCCATTACCTTCAACTGAACATTAGTCATCCGCCATAATCTTCAACTGAACATTTGTCATCCGCCATTACCTTCAACTGAACATTTGTCATCCGCCATTACCTTCAACTGAACATTTGTCATCCGCCATAACCTTCAACTGAACATTTGTCATCCGCCATAACCTTCAACTGAACATTTGTCATCCGCCATAACCTTCAACTGAACATTTGTCATCCGCCATAACCTTCAACTGAACATTTGTCATCCGCCATAACCTTCAACTGAACATTTGTCATCCGCCATAACCTTCAACTGAACATTTGTCATCCGCCATAACCTTCAACTGAACATTTGTCATCCGCCATAACCTTCAACTGAACATTTGTCATCCGCCATAACCTTCAACTGAACATTTGTCATCCGCCATAACCTTCAACTGAACATTTGTCATCCGCCATAACCTTCAACTGAACATTTGTCATCCGCCATAACCTTCAACTGAACATTTGTCATCCGCCATAACCTTCAACTGAACATTTGTCATCCGCCATAACCTTCAACTGAACATTTGTCATCCGCCATAACCTTCAACTGAACATTTGTCATCCGCCATAACCTTCAACTGAACATTTGTCATCTGCCATAACCTTCAACTGAACATTTGTCATCCGCCATAACCTTCAACTGAACATTTGTCATCCGCCATAACCTTCAACTGAACATTTGTCATCTGCCATAACCTTCAACTGAACATTTGTCATCCGCCATAACCTTCAACTGAACATTTGTCATCCGCCATAACCTTCAACTGAACATTTGTCATCCGCCATAACCTTCAACTGAACATTTGTCATCTGCCATAACCTTCAACTGAACATTTGTCATCTGCCATAACCTTCAATTGAACATTTGTCATCCGCCATAACCTTCAACTGAACATTTGTCATCCGCCATAACCTTCAACTGAACATTTGTCATCTGCCATAACCTTCAACTAAACATTTGTCATCTGCCATAACCTTCAACTGAAGATTTGTCATCCGCCATAACCTTCAACTGAAGATTTGTCTTCCGGAGCACTTTAATTTCTTGTTATCAGATATCATCTAGATACGTAATGGCTGGAGATAACACTCAGGACTGCCTAACTTTAGCTGACTTGGAAATAAGAAGAATAATACAACTTCTGAATCCTATGTTTCAAACAAGAAAATTGCAGCTATGCTGTTGGGATAATTATCATAATTGTGTGGGGGGAAAATACACAGCAAATTTGCTACGAATACCAGGAGGTATTTGAATCATTTGTTATTATATAATATCTAATGATCACTTATTTTGTAAGAAATTATTGTTATACTGTGAATCCTTTTGACCCAAAAGTTAACTACACTTCATTTAAACACCATACCATGTTTTTATTAATATATAGAGAATATTTAATTGTATATTCTGCAATCAGAACACTGACAGGTCAGCAAGGGCCCTGTCATGTGCTTCATCAACACCTCTCCCTCCCCCAGTCCATTTTTAGTAACAGTTAGCTTGACCTTGACCTTAAAATCTTTTTAAATCACTATCGCACACTTGCATAACACAATTTATCACCCAACATTTTACTTTCTTTTTGATATTTTCTACCGGCAATAAAGCATTTGCAAACATGAGAAGAAAAAAATATTCTGCATAATGTATATACCTGGCACATGTACCGTATATCCTGAAAAGGTGCCTGAAACCGAAAGTGTATATCCATATCAATATATCAGTACATTTGTGTATAAGATGAAAATGAAAAATCTGGATTATAATTTCCGCATGTCGTTACTTTTTTTTCTAAAATTACTCATAGTCAAGTGTTTTTTTTTTATCTGAAGTGGGAATTACAGAGTCCTTATACATAGAGCAAATCCAGGAAGATCTGGGTAGGCGGAAACAGCTGTATATATATATATACACAAGGAGATACTGTTCTGTACATAGTCCAGGCACTAACTACACGGCCAACTGGTCTGCTATTGAAAATTATCATGAGAAATACTGAGAAAGTTCATCAGGTGTAAATTTTACAAATCCTGTGACATTAAATTTCAGTCAAGTGTTTTAGCATTTCATCATCCATGTGAGTATTGACATACTGACACAGGTCCACATTACATACAGTTTGTTTTCCATTTTAAATGGTGTTTGCTGAAGGTGTCTCATTTTGATGCAACACAAAACCAGATGACTACTTTACCCAAATATGTGTTAACTTTTTCAGAATTCAAGGTTGTGGTTTCTCCCAACATGTGGTTTTTGTTCAGGACAACATAGGCCAATATTTGTGTATTTATTTACTGTGGGTGTTTCACAGCAGTTTAGTATTGTGGCTCTTTTCTTAATCTCTCTGGGTTTTTTTTTATAACAATTAGAAAACTTTTGGATCCACTTCAAGAGTCATGCATAATCTTCTTCCATTAGTGTGAAAATTGAGTGGTCTGCATATAAACATTATCAGCAGAAAATATGAAACATTTTCAATAAAATTCCAAAGACATTTATTGTATATATATTACCAAATATTATATCCAGATGCAATTTGCAAGATAGCGCTGATCAGAAAGTATGAGGTTGCAGATTGTGTTTAACACTTGTGTGTCTTGTCAAAAACCATACTTCACTTCTCTACTTTATACAGGTTTTGAAAAATTATTCTCCTGTTTTTGATAAGGAAAAGATTTTAAAATAGAAAACTGTTTGTTATAATGACAGTATTTTTTCTGTGCATGACCAGTTCATATCAATTTTAGTCATGTCTGATCAGCGGACATTCTGTTTCTTTTTCAAAACATATTAACTTGTGATCGGTTCAATAAAAGTAACAGCCTGAAAGCATAATCCTTGTTAAGGAGGCTCCACCCTTTCGCAATTAGCCATCAGAATTAAATGAAAGTTTCACATGATGGTTATGTCATTATGTAGAGATGAGTTTATGAAATTCTAAGCATTTCGATAAACTGGGGATTTATTTGTAAAAAATACCGAAAATTTGAATTTTTGTCAAATTCAACACTTTCACATTTTTTGAGCGTGTGGCATTGTTAAAAACTATTACAACAATAAAATAATGAAAAGAAACATTGCTAATCAACCCTACAAATATTTTATTTATCATAAAATATCTACAACATGTTACAAAAAGCGTTTTTTATTGAAACTATATGGATAAAACTTACTAAATGCAAGCCAAAATCAAACAGGACACATAGTTACATACAAAAAGAGTGAAAAATTGAACCAAATACACACAAAGTCTTTATAATTAATTTATTTTACATTTTACAATTATTTTGATCCTGATGAGAGTTGTCTACCTTGAAAATAATCGGAACTTTTTGCAGAGGGATAGAATTTATACAATGACACTTATTTTATTTAATATACCAAAAACGACGGAAATAAATTAAATTACTATATTTATTTGTCAATTTACTGTTCTTTTATGGAACAAAATTACTCTCAATCATGTACACTTTGGACATCATTCCATAGCCTGCTTACGCATGGTATATTAACATGTCAGGTACATATGTAACCATAGGCTATCGCATGGTATGCCGTTATTACGTGCACGCACATGCACTTGCATTTTATAGGGATCTTGATATTTTACAAACCACTATTTTCACAGAGTTATTGTAATTGCATTTGTGAACCGATTTATCTGACAGAGCGTAACTCGCTCGACAACAAAAGTCGTAGCGACCAAGAGCTTGTGAACTACTGTTAGCACGTGACTCGTACAGGTGAGGTC